GACCATGGGCCAAAGGTCCAATCACTAGAGCTTCGGCCAGGAGCATTCAAGAAGGGTTGGATAACTTGAAGACCAATGGGCTTTCCAAGCCCAAGGAATTATTCTCATGGACCAACGTATCATAAAGAGAAGGCATGGCTCTGTTGTATATAAACTTGTACATAGTATTCTTGTATAGGCTTATTTTTTCCTTTGTATTTGTGAGGCACTTTATTCCATTTAACCTAATTTTGAAGTACACTCATTTTCTATTTTTTTAGTAGTAGAAGTGGGGTGGCATTTAGCAATGCTTGAGGGTGTTACTAGTAATTGGGCCAGAATTGGGCCTAGGCAAAATTTTACATATCGGACTCATTTTGCTCCTAATTTTTCATAGGTTTGATCTAGCTAGGTCTCATCATCTTTGGATGGACCTAACTAGACCAAACCAAACATTTTTGAAATTAATTCAAGGAGCAAAATGGAACCAAGGCCGCCTAGCTTGCCTTAGCTTATATCTTCGGCCGAATTGCTTCTGACACTTGGAAGCCTTGAGAAGCTTGTGCTACAAGTTTCTCCTTAGCTTGCTTCCCAAGCAAGCTAAGTGAGAAGCTTGCTCCACAAGCTTCTTTACTAGCTTGGACGGTCAAGCAACTCAACCATGGTTCACTTGAACCATGGTTAAAGTCAGGTTGCTCCCTAAACTACCTCCTTCTATATATTTGTAACTCTAACCTTTTCCCTCACTTTTGATGAATGAAATCTGAAAATTCACTTAGAATTCTCTCTTCTCAAAGTTTAAGAATCCGTGGAGAACAATTCTCCCTATTCCTTCACAAAGGTTTCCAACCTTTGTGCCTTGGAATCTTCTTCTTATACTTTCTTTGGAAGTAACCGAACATACCTTGGATGCTTCTACACCATTGAAGACTTCTTCAAGGTGTTTTTGCCATCTTCAAAGTGTCTCAACCTCAAGGAGGAAAGGTCTTGGACAGTGGAGTTTGAAGAACAACAACATTCTTTAACTTTCTTCCATCATTTTTGGTATCAGAGCCTTGGTGCTCTTGAGGTTATGTGTCCCATACTTTTTGTGTGAATCCGTGTTGTATCTTCCTTCTATTACATGTCTTCTTGTGTTTTCTGAATGGATCTAGGTTTAGTTCATATTTTGATGGATCCTATATGTCACATGAGAAGTGATTGATTCATATTTTTGCTTGTTCCTTTTAATCTTGAATCAATCCGGTTTGTATACCTTTAGGTTTCTTGTGCTTGTGCTTTTTGGTTTTGCTTGAGTCTTCTCTATTCCTATAACATGATTCCATGATTGGACATTGATATTGTTAGCATGAATTTTATTTTTTAATCATATGTTTTGTCTTGAGTCATGTGTAGTCCTTTACATGTCTCAAAATTCCTAGACTAGCTTGTTGAACATTTTGTTTTGTGTTGTTTTGTGTCTATTTTTTGGTACGGTTTTGATTTGTTATCTTTGTGCCTACCTATATGTTCTTTTGCTTTATATGATTGAGTTCCTAATTTGCTATTAGTTCTAGCAAATTTCCTAGAGTTAGGTTTCCTTTATGTCTTGTTAAAAAGTTTTGTAAAAAAAAAAATTACTAAACACTATTCCTAGTAGGTTTCCCTGAGTTTTGTTTTGTGGCTGAAACTTGTATCAATTTTAAAAGCATAAAAACAGAGGCAAAACATAGGTATTAGTGCTCTAAAGTGTGATAAAAACAAAAGAAAACAGTGCATGAAAATTGACCTAAAATTTGGACAAAAATTGTGAAGCACTAGAAAAACAATTTCACTAGAATACGTCTTGTTTTGTGGAAAAAATTTGGCAGAAGTTTTACCTCATTAAATCCGAGATTTATACTTGTTTAGAAATTAAAATCCTGTACAAAATAAAAATAAAAAGTGCAAAAGAAGTTATAAAAAGAATTACAAAAAAAGAGTACAATAAAAAGCCAAGTAGTAGAAAATTGTGTGTGATGTGCTCTCGGTTTTAATTTGTATAAAGTGTATTAAAATCTGTCCAGCCACATGTCACTTGTTGTTGAGTCTTATTTTGTGTGGTAATCTTAGATTTTATTTTGTGATCTATTCTAGTGCCACTGATAGGTTTTTCCTTTGCGTGCTAGCCTTTTTTTGGTGCCTTAATTTTTGCTTGTCATTTTATTGGAATTCTTTCTAGTCTTGTCTCATCTCTTTCCATCATTTGGTGTAGCATAAATATTCCAGCAATTTAAGGTGTGTTGAGTGCTTCTTGAAGGTGTGGAAGGCCAAGTTACAAAGGAAGCCAACATTGGAAGCTATTGTGGTGGCCTAGGAAGCTTGCTTCTCCGCTGGAGGAAGGCTTTGGGAGTCCAAACACCTAGGAATAACCAACATTAAGGTTATTCCTAAGAGAGGAGTGACACACTTGTGAGCGCTGCAAGGAGTTGGTGGCTGAACCTGAATTGAAGGAGCAATCAATTTTTTGAAATTGGTGACTAGTTTAGAGACGGAAACTTTTGTTACAAAATTTCCCTTGAAAAATCTGTCTCTAAATTTGTCACTATTTTAGTGGCTGAATTTTATTTTCTAAAAATTTGGTGCAGTCACTACTTGTCATTTAGTGTGTATTTACATTTCATTTGAGTGTGAATTTACATTTCATTTGGTGTAAATTTGCATTTCATTTGGTGTAAATTTGCATTTCATTTCTTGCAAATTTTCATTACTTTCATTTCTTGTACAAGGCCTTTTTTATGAATGTCTTGGAGTGTCTTTGGTGCATTTCCATCTCTCCTTAGTGTTTTCAAGTTAGGGCAATACGTATAGTACTTATGAGAGTGGTCCTTGGAAGTCCTTGGTACTTTCCAAGCTCTCACATAGGTTTACTTGCTTTAGACGCCTAGTTTATGTTTTCTTGTCTTTAAGTTTTCATGCAATTTATTTTTTAAGCAATTTATGTTTTAAGCAATTTATGTTTTAAGAAATTTAAGTTTTCAAGCAATTTATGTTTTCATGTTGTAACGACCCACCATGGCCATCACACTACGAACAACATCACACACTAATGAAATATATATACTAAAATAGTATAATAAAATATTTACAACACAAGTTGTTAATCGAGCAACCAACGACAACCAATTATATACAACAAAATATGCTACTATAAGGTAGCCTACCAAAAATATCCCTCTCCAGGCACCTCTTGTGGCCTCTAGTAGCTATCTCCCAGCCTATCCCTTCACAACTTAACTAACACATGCATCTCCAACAACATCATTAATAAATATTTAACCATATATTAGCAACCCACAATATTTCATCACATAACACAACTCATATTAATCAACCTAAGAACCCAAAAGAGTTTCCAACTCACATACAACCAACAACTTTACAATCTAGCTTCCCTTACTTGAAGATTGGCTCAGAATAGCCAAGAAGCAGAATTCCCTTTCCGAAGCTCAACCTGGAACTTCAATCCACCCAAATCAAGCTTCTTAGTCCAGAGTTCTTCTCTCTAAAACTTCTATCTAAAAACCTCCATTTCTCTTCAACCACCCAACTCTATTTATAGAAATTCAGGAGTGGCCAGAACGGCCTGTTCCGAATCCAGAACGGCCCGTTCTGCACCCCTTCATCATGTGTAAAAATCACATGCAGAACGACCCGTTTTGAAATCAGAACGGATCGTTTTGGGACTCATCTAGAACGGCCCGTTCTCCATCCATAACGGCCCGTACTCCCTCTAGAACGCCCCATACTCCATCTAGAAAGGCCCGTTCTAGGGTTTGGAACGCCTCGTTCTCAACTACAATTTATAGGTCAAATCAGTAGTTTGGAACGGCCCATTCCAGTTTGGGAACGGCCCGTTCTAGGCTACTGAATCACCCATACTGGGCTTTTGGGCCTTCTGAAACAACTTGCTATGTTACAATACCCCCCAACAAATAGGAATTTTCGTCCCCGAAAATAGAATTACTTGGAAATAAAGAAGGATACTGCTCTCTACACAGTTGCTCAATCTCCCAAGTAGTCTCACCAGTAGTTGCATCCCACAAGATCTTCACCAATCCAGTGGACTTGCCCCTCAACTCCTTCAACTTATAATCAATCACAACTACCAGTCTCTTCTCATAAGTCAGGTTCTCCTGACCTGAATCGCACCCATCTCAACTACATGACTCGGGTCATGGACATACTTCCTCAACTGTGAAACGTGACACACATGTTACCACCTCAGCAAACTCCACATGCTTTCTCCTTTTATCAGCATATGACTTCTGTCTACTCTGGGCAGTCTTCATATTCTCTTGAATCAACTTTACTTTTTAGTCTATAGGACTAACTCCGGCCCCACAACCACTGATTCACTATCTTGGTACCAACACAGAGGAGTCCTACACCTCTTACCATATTGGACTTCAAACGATGCCATCCCGATACTAGCATGAAAGCTATTGTTATACATGAACTCTACCAGTAGTAAGACTTCCTCCCAACTCTCCAAGTGGTCTAGCACACAAGCTCTCAGCAAAACCTTCAAGGACTGAATTGTCCTCTCTGACTGACCATCCATTTGTGGATGATAAGCAGAACTCAACCTCAACCTCGTGCCTAAGGCTTGGTGTAGACTTTGCCAAAAATCTGGAAGTGAACCTCGAATCCCTATCTGAAATAATACTGGAAGGCATCCCATGCAACCGTACTATTTCCTTCACATACAACTATGTCAACTTCTCCAAGGATCACTTGATATTGACAGGTAAGAAAAGTGCACACTTGGTCAATCTGTCAACCACAACTCAAATAGCATCACTATTCCTAGTCGACTTAGGCAACCCATCAATGAAATCCATAGTGATACTATCCAACTTCCACTACCGGATCTCCATCATCAACAACAAACCACCAGACTTCTGGTGCTCAACCTTAGCCCTCTAACAGATCAGACAGGCCGACATATATTCAACAATGTCTCTCTATACTTAGAATCTTGAGATAGGCAAATTCTGCCCTTAAACCTCAAATCCCATTTTCACCCATCTCAAAGCCAACTGCTTCCTCTGTATCCAACAAATTAAGAACCTTCACAACTTTCGAATCTTATAACTACTTCATACCAACTTGCTACAAGAACTCACTAGCAATGGTAATCATGCCACAACTAATGTGGTCTTGAGCCAACTCCACAAACAACATCAAATCTCTAAATTTCTCAACCAGCTCCAACTTCTTCACCATCAAACTAGACATGTGGATGGACTTCCTACTCAAAGCATCTGCCACTACATTGGCCTTCCTAGGGTGATACATCAATTGAAATTCATAATCTTATAAAATATTCCATCCACTTTCTCTGTCTCATGTCTAACTCCTTCTGATCAAGCAAGTACTTCAACTCTTGTAATCACCAAAGACCTTAAATCTTGCACTATGAAAACAGTGCATCCATACCTTTAAGGCAAAAACCACTGCTGCCAACTCTAAGTCATGAGTAGAGTAATTCCTCTCATGATTCTTCAATTGCCTTAAAGCATATACAACTACTGTCCTATTCTACATCAACACACACCCCAACCTTAGGTGAGAAACATCACAACACACCTCAAATGGCTCATTAGGATTAGGCAACACCAACATAGGAGAAGTAGTCAGTCTTTCCCTTCAAATCTTCCACCTGACACTTCAATTCAACCAACTCTGTTGGGGCCATCCTATAGGGAGTAACCAACACTAGCCCTACACTAAGGACCAGATCAAAGCTAAACTCAATCTCCCTAGTAGGAGGTAACTCAGACACCTCATCCAAAAACACCTTCAAAAATTCCCTCACAACTCCTACCTATTGATCACCTTCTCAGTTTCCACACTCACAACAGCAAATAGAATACAACACTCTGCTCCATCTCTCAACATCACTTCAGCTTGGCTAGCTGAAATCAACAATTCATCCTCCCTCTAAGGGAAAAACCAACTCCATATTGGCACAGTCTATAAGAATGTGATTGGCAGATAACCAATCCATCCCTAAGATTATGTCAATATCCACTAAAGGCAAACATATCAAGTTCACCTTATACTTCCTATCACACATCTCCAAGGGACAACCAACACACATCTTAGAGGCAACAATAGAAACAGAAGCGTGCGCAGACACAAGCAATCTCAACTCCAAATTACGTACAAGAAAACCCAACTTTTCAACACACGTATATAAAATAAATGAATGGGAGGCCCTGAGTCAAATAACATCATCACAACCTTACTAGTATCTTTACCCTTCCCTTTCACTAGATCAGATGAAGTGGAAGCTTCGACTCCGGTCAAGGCAAACACCCTTCCAGCTATAGAAGATCTATCACCCCTCGGGGCACTCCTGGTCTGTCTAGCACCTACAAGATAACTAGTCGACATGTGACCCATCTGGCCACACCTAAAACACTTGCTCTCAGTATGAAGCAATCACGAATGAAGAGAGGTGGACCACATCTGTAACATCTGAGAGTAGCAACTCCACTCTAATCCCCACTCCTAGTTGTGTCAATAGGGTTCCTTGTGGCAAGACCCCCTTGTTGTGATTGAGGCCTATCATAAGGCTTCCTCTGAGAACCACCACCACTCTTGGACCCAGCTGGTCCACCAACAATCTTCGTCAACTTGTCGATGCTCTCTAGCCGCTCTACAACCTTCGCCTTCTCTACCAAGGCTGGAAACTCCTTGATGGCCATAGGCACCACCACTCTCCTCAAATCATACTTCAAGCCTTTAGCAAACTTCCTACACTTCCAAGTCTCAGAGGTGGCTTGGTGTAGAAGTGTGCCAAGTGCTCTAATCTCATGGCATGCTCGATCACTGACATTCCCTCTGCTGTAATCTCATAAATTCTGACTCCCGAGCATGCTTGACACTCACTGGGAAGTGCTTCTCGAGGAAGGCCCTCTTGAAGCATACCCAATCCACAACCACTCCACGGTCAATCAGCATCTGACTAGTACCTCTCCAACAATACTCTGCCTCCCCTATCAACATATACACAGCATAGGTGAGCTTTCGCTCCTCTGAACAACCTAGAACTGAGAATATGTTTTCCAACTCGCAAATCCAGTGGTTAGCCACCTTTGGATCTGCATCACCTCTAAACTAAGGAGGACTACACTTCCTGAACTCAGCCAAAACCCGACTCTCCTATGACCCAACTGGTCTTGCGACACTAGTCTCAGCTCTCTTAGCATCCATCCTGTCGCCACCCGCCGAAACGGACCTTGGCATTCGCGACGATGGTTGGACTCTTATTGAGTTTTGAAAGATGATGGATTGTTAGAACGACTTATTCTCAAACTGAGACCTCATCGAGCTAACAATTTTATTTAAATGACTCTCACCAATCCATGTTAATCCCAAGCGGGACCCTCCATGGATTAGTGGTTTTTGTAAAAAGAAGGGTTCTTGGAGTCGCCACCAATATTTTACTCAAAACATTGGAAAAAGATACAAGGCAATTGATTTTCATAAATCAACTTTGGCCACTACAACCAGAGTCGGGTAAGGGAGTCGGTTACGTGCGAGGAAGGTGTTAGCACCCCACAACGCCCCTTTCGGGTTCCCTATGACGGATTATTTCATAAATAACAGTGTAAAGTTACTAAATTACCCCTATTTATTAGAAACGATTATAAATAAAATATTTACATGATGAAAGCTCTAAACATGCAATGCGACAATCAAAAATCAATAAAAGCGGTAAAAGAAAGGATTTAGAAAGAAACCTCCGAAGCGGGCTTTTATATATATCAGAACAACGTTAGGAGGCTTTTTGGCGCTCCTTCCCACTACACGTCCGCTCGCTCCTTTCCCCTAAAGACAAATTTTTACTATGGAAATCAAAGAGATTTCCCTTCGACTTGTTCGAATCTCAAGCTAATGGCTCATGACTCAAGAACTTCGTCGGATCGGCTCCCGGAGAGATATCTAGGGCAGAGAAAAGCTCAAAAACCCAAGAATACTCAGTAGGAGGGTTGAGGAATGTGTAAAAAGTGTGGAAGGACGTGCCAATGACGTCCTATTTATAGGATTGAGGCGCAATACGGCCTGGGAGGTCAATACGGCCCGTACTGGTTTTTTGAACTACAGTACGGCCGTATTGAATTTGGTACGGCCGTACTGAAGTTCAAAAACTTCAGTACGGCCGTATTGAGTTCACTACGGCCGTATTGCAGTTCAAATGGCTCAGTACGGTCGTACTGAACCTCTGGGAGGGCGTATTGAGCTCCAATCCTCGCACACCCTTATTCTAAGCTACTCTAAGACTCCTAGACTTACAAAGAATCATCCTAGGGTCTTCCAGGAGTCCTTCCGGCTGACTTTCCTTCGGTCTTCGAGAGTCTTTGAGTCTTATTTTCGACCCGGACAATTTTAGGGGTCTACACATCCTAGCAAAGTAGGCATTCTGCTGTTGCATAGCCATAGTCATCATCTCCATGACATGGGCTATCTGCTCATGTTCTAAGCATCTTTTACAAAATGAACAACTCATTCAACACACTACATCTCAACTAATCCACACAGATTAGCACAACATCCAACACAACACAGAGTTCAACACAACAAAAGCCTAAAGGGACCACCCCCACAGAGTGTCCACTAGACTCGAACTGCTCTGATACCATAAAAGTGTAACGACCCGCCATGGCCGTCACACTACGAACAACATCACACACTAATGAAATATATATAGTAAAATAGTATAATAAAATATTTACAACACAAGTTGCTAATCGAGCAACCAACGACAACCAATTATATACAACAAAATATGCTACTATAAGGTAGCCTACCAAAAATATCCCTCTCCAAGCACCTCCTATGGCCTCTAGTAGCTATCTCCCAGCCTATCCCTGCCCTGCTCCCATACCAACGTATGATCATCGCAGTCCAAACCACATGGAAACACGCAAGGGTAAGCTAGAGACAATAAACAACTCATAAATATCAAATAAGAAACAAAACTATATAATCATCTTCACATCTGACACAAAAGATAAACAACACATATATTACACATCTTTCAACAAGAAATGTTTAAAACAGATTACAACATAACAACATTATCATCATCCTCAACAGGATCAACACACAACACAATCACAGCTTAACAACATAACAACATAGATACAACTTTTGCCCTTGTCTTTAATTTCCCATTTTACCCTTGTATTTTGGGTAACTTAGACAGGATTCATTTTACTTGTATTTCTCATTTTACCCTTGTATTTTGGGGTGCCTTAGATTATAGGATTTTATTTTATAGTTAGGGAATTATGTTAAGATGGGAGGCATAACCTAGACGTGTTTTTGGCAGTTTTTGGAGATATTTTTGGACTTGGAGAGGCTTAGTGATAGAATCATGCCTAGGAGAGCAAGATGTGACACTTTGAAGGATCCAAGAGGAATGGGCTAGACATGAAGATTTGACCTAGTTCAGAGCCCAATGGGCCCGGTGGGCTTGGTGGGCCCAAGTTGCTTCCCACATGGGCCACATCTTGAGATCTCCATTTTCCTTTAATTGTATATATTATATTAGTATATGATTCATATATTTTGGTCTTGTATTTTGGACCACTTAGAATAGGATTTTGGGCCTTAGGCTTCATGGGCCTAGTTTTGGGCTTTATTGGCCTCTAGGCTTTTGTACCCAATATTGGGCTCATTGTATTTCTTTTAATATTTTATGTTGTTTGTATTTGTTTGGCCATTGTATTTAGCCCATTAGATTAGGAATGTTGGAGGAAAACTAGAATAGGTCAAGTAGGCTAAATCTAAGTTTCATTTAGAAGCCATTTAACATAAATTTGGAGTCACATGTTTTTAACCATGAGTGGCTGAACATGTGCACACCAAATCCACCTTAAATGACCCCTAAATGACATTTAGATGAAGCTAGTAGCCTAATTTCACGGCTAAGCACATATGCCACAAAAATTTGAATTTCAAATTCCATTTGAAATTCAAATATTGGCGCCAAAGATGCTAGTTTGAATTTGGCGCCACTAGCAACCCTTCCGGATCTATAAATAAGCTTTGCCTCCCATTTGTATTCACTTTGATGCATAATTGAGAAATCTGATCACTGATTCAACCTTTTCTCTCTCAAAGTCTCTCACGTCTAGCCTTAAGTTCTTTGAGCCTTCTCTAGGTTTAGGCACCTTTGTGAGTAGTCCATTACCCACCTTGCTTTGGTGCTTCCTTCCTTCTAAATCTTTTGTCTTCAAGCCTCATTCAAGCTGTAATTTGCATCTAGCAACCTTCAAGGAGAAGATCAAGTGGCCAGAGCAAGTTTAAGGTGAAGAACATCAATCTTCTTAACCTAGATTTGCCATCACTTAGGCCCAAGACGAGGGCACCTAGGTTGCATGGTCTTATTATGAACCTAGTTGTAGCTTAACCAAGCCAAAGATTCCATCCTTGGTCACCAAGTAGGCATCACATGAATTTGTGTTGCATTTCCATCACATTTAGCATGGAAATATGCACACTTCTATGATCTAGTCGTCACCCTAAATGAGTACTTATTACCTCACATCCTAATCTATATATACCTTAGGCATTGCTCCATGTAATCACTATGGAAATTAATATAGAGTGACCCTTTTGTGCCTTTATATTTCCTTAGTCTTTCTTTGTCATTTTCGGCCACGAACCCTACCTATCTCCCCTTAAGTGCATAAACCCTAGGAGTAGCCTTCATCCATCTTGAAGTGAGCCAAACCCTATACTGCCTCTTACACCATCCATCAAACACCTTGTCTCCTTCCTCTGATTTTGGTCACCATCATCATCCAAGGCTAGGCCTTTGAAGAATTATGATCCTTGGAGTCAAGGAAGCCTCCCATTGATACTCCTTTATCCATCAATGCTAAGAGGACTTCCATCATTGGTATCTAGAGTCAATGGTTCTTCAAGGTGATTTCTAGTCTACTCTTTTCTTTCAAAAAAAATCTTTTGGTCATGTCATGGTGTCTTTTTCCTTGTCTTGAAGTTGTGCTAAAATAGATCATTGTCATGCTATACTCTCATGATCTACGTGTCTTGTCTTGTTTTTTGATTCATGCCATAACTATCTTATGAATCATCTTGGTGCCTAGGCTTCTTGTTAGGATTTGTCCATTTTTTTTTTAGGTTTGGGTGGCTGGAAAATTTTGTGCATGAGAAAAAAAATGATGATCATGTATTTTTATTCTATAATATATGAAGTTTTGTAATAAGAGTATTTTTCTTCATAATTTTTGTTGAAAGAAAATTCCAAGTACTCATGCCTAAACACTTTCATGATCAAAATATGTCATGCATGCTATATGTTTGTTGAAATGGCCGTGGGATTTAGAGTGCTTTAGAGAGTCATTCATACATGCTATTTAGTTCCAACA